GCGGGTCACGTGGCTACTTCTTTTTCTCTTGGAAATATAAAAGCCAAACGGTTGGCCTCCTGCTCTTGCAGTATATTAAACGTTTCGAAAATAAAACTTTCTGAATACGGACCTGCTTTTCTATCACTTTTTATTTTTGAAATTTGCATGTTGTTAAGGCATTAACCCATTCATTCCAGAAACGTTGTTATTTGATATTAAAAAAATATATAATTTCTAACGAAGAGCGTACATTAATTATTGTATTATTAGTGGTTTCACAAATAGCCGACTGAATGAAAAATGTAAATATTGGAAAGTGACTTATTACACATTTAGCCTGTTTAATTACCACTATATATTCAGTTTTTTTGTATGTCATCTACTTGATAAAAGAAGTAAGTCCAAAATGCATTTTGGTTAAGTTAGTTACATAGACTGGGTGTGTCATAAGTGTGTTCATTAGTCATAAGAAACTAAGTAGATTTTTGTAATTAAATAATACAGGCAAAAAGCTTATTAATATGTGGGAAAGTAAGATTGCGCCTGTCCAAACAGCATGCGACAAATTCTTTCAGTTTTTTTTTTTTTACCTATCATTTAAATACGCGATAAATTGTAAACCTTACCTAACAAAATATTAAAACACTGACCATACAACAGAGCTGTTCTTTCTGTATACAGAAAATATTAGATCTGTTGAATGGACAGTTTTTAATATTTTGTTAGAATATGTTTCACAATTTAATGATTGGAAAATTGAAAAAAATAAGATAGTTTTCAACATTATTTTCCACAATACTCATTAACTGTACTTCATTAAGTGTACTTTGTTAACAAAAGAACAAAGTACACTTAATGAAAAGTTACACTTTTGTGTTCACACATATAAGTGCTTCTAATTATTAAATGTTATTAATACAAATGTTTTATATTCGTTCACGTATGTAGTTATAGAAAAATCAGCAATATCTCAATAAGCTGCAGATCGATTCCTCAATTAAACGAATCTTCTTTGATTTTATGTATTCACGTTGAAACGTTCTCAATGCAGTGAGGTGTTCTGAACATTACTTGCATTCAGCAAACGTGATGAAGTACATTTCGTACTTTTATTCTTCTTTCCCAATTCGATGAGTGCAGAAAGAATAGAGTAAAGACTACTCAGCATCTAAACAAGAAACAGAAATGAAGATAAAACCCACAAATAATAAATTAAAACAGACTATTTAATAGAAACTTACTTTAATCGGGAAATTGCGTTTGACTCGAAAAAATCCATCGAAAGAAATTCCAATGGGTGTTTTCCCGAATCTCTTCATAAAATTCAGCATCTGTTCAGCATTAACATTTATCGATAACGTAAAAATAGAACACTCAATCTACCTTCAATTTAAAACCCAGAGAGAAACTGTAATGGGAAAATTTATTCATCTCGTTGAAATTTCCGTAAATCTGAATTGAATGTTAAGCATTATAGATTATATATTAATTTGGTAATACAAGTATTAAATAAATCTTACCGAAGATGTAAACCTAGATAAACCGAACGACATTATCACAGGTTCGAAAATTACGTATATGATCATGACAAATGCAACCCGTTTAAATTCTGTCAGTAAATCGTAAAACAAAGAAATGGTTACCAGGAAACTAAACCCATACAAATTATTGCAGTAAATAACAGGAAAATATATTTCGAGTTGGTTATTAACTTTTCGAAAGTCTTCTATTAATGCTGTATGTTTTCACTTCCTTTGTGGCTTTCTGTATCATAGTGTTATGCTACTGATCGCTACGCTACATGCTACTGTTTTATCTGTTTTACTGCTTTGCTTGTTCTCCCCACCGCTTGTCAGGCAGTTGTCCTCATTATTTGTCTGTTTTTTTTTTTTACTCTGGTTTATTTGTAAATAAATGTGATGCGTGGGCTGTGGGATCCCACCTCTTCCTCCCTCTTCCTGCCCCCACTTTCATCCCCTATCCTTCGCATTTCTCCTCTTCCTTCATTTCTTTTCCCCTCCTGATCGTACCTATGAGTGATACCAGGAGTTCCCCACTTTTCATAAATAAATAAATAAAAAAAATTAATGCTGTATGTTCTTCTATAAAGTATACGATTAGATCTTTAATGTTGTTCCTTCCATGAGAAACTACATCGAGTTTGCTCGACAATGTGTTAAATCTATTAAACAAGACGAGAAAATAATAATAAAGAAAGAATAATATGCAAGCAGTTTGTCCTACTGAAAATAATAACAATAATGTACAATCAATATTGCAGATAAGGAATTCCATTACAGTTGCCTTTTTCATGGCAAAATATAGAGAAAAGTCAAGCATGAAGTAAAATGTGACTTGCATTAAAGCAGAGGCTGCAAAGAAAACTGCAAATTGAAATTCTATGGAGGTAATTAACGGTTCTTCAACTTCATAGCAAGATTTACAACTAGGAAGATGAAAACGAGTTCGTTTAATTAAAGAGTACAGAAAAGTCCAGCATTTAAGTAAATTTTATGAACTTTCACTTGTTATCACTACCGACATAATAGCAAGAATAATGCTATTGTGTAATGAAACCGCTCTTTTATAATTATAGGTCTATGCATGTTCAAACACAAGCTGATGCAGCGCTCTGCTCGCGTGCTAATGCTATTCTGTTCAGAGAAGTACTGTACATGCATGCTCAAACAAGTTCAAGCATCGTCCTTTACAAATTCTGTGTTAATTTTTCAATAATAATGTAAATATTAGTGATGTAACGAATATTCGGTTACTATTCGGTATTCGGCCTATTCGGCCTATTTTTCACTATTCGGCCGAATACCGAATACCTAAAAACAGGAGTAATGAATAACAAATACACAGTAAATTAATCATTTTGATATTTAGAGTTAATGTTATAGAGTTAGTGTTGTTTGTTTATATTTATTTATAACTTATAACATGCACAAAATAAAAAAGAAAATAATATTAGTCACATGTATTCACAATTTATAATTACAAAGATCAGCACACGTAAACGTCTATCGTTGGAGAATCCTCGCACATCTGAGGATCTGACCCTGCCTATCCTTCTTTTTAAGCGCTCGTCTTTGCTCTTCCCTTTCTCTTTCCTCTATCGCTCTAATCCATGTATGCCTGTGCATACATCATAATACGCGCTCACGATACTTTCGATTCGTCACTTTTCCGTCGTAGAGTTCCCATTTTACAATTACGTGACTCAGCCTGGTGATAACGGAGAAAAGAGACAGATAGGACGTCGATATAAGTCACAGTTATGATTTCACAGATTCGAGACAGCTTGATAGCCCGAACGGCCCCAGGCTTTCGCCCGTGCACGCTAAGTGACTTTCATTACAAGCATTTAGCTTTCCGAAGTCTATGACAACAATTGTTTGGCATTGACGGCCGCGAATTTCGTGCCAATAAGCTGCCTCGACTTGTTCGATTATGTTATCAACTCAATTTCATATTTATTTTCACATTTTCACTTCGCGGTCCTTCTCTGTTCTTTTTCCGTTATTTACACGTGTAGGTCATTTCATTGTTATCCACATTTGATATCATCATTTATCACATACTTCCATGACACTCTTGTCTGTCCGCTACAACTGCCAAGAATTAACGCGATTGGCGAAGCGTAGTGACAGCGGGCCAATAGAGAGCAGGATCCTTGCTATAATGCGGTTTGCGCGCAATTTTCGTACGTGCGTTAATCGAGCCGAATAGTTTGGCCGAATATTCGGCTATTCGGCCACGCCCCTGGCCGAATATTCGGTATTCGGCCTGAGGCCGAATATACTACTCGTTACAACACTAGTAAATATTTTTAGCTTTTAGACATAGACAATATAAATACGATACGCACTGTAAATTTTTAGAGAACAAAAAAATCGATACGTGAAATTATCTATTAATTGAATATTTAACACATCAATATTTTTCTCACTTACAGCCAAAAAGGCGCTCCTAAACTTTGGCGCACCGGACAAATGTCCGAGTTGCCCGCCCCTAGAGCAGGCCCTGTCCCCAACCCATAAGAAAATTATCCGATTTGATGTCTCGATGAATATAATGTTTACTGTGTAAATATTCGATTCTATCAAGCATGTCCACGGCCAGCATTAATGTCGTTCTTAGCGAGAATTGGCTATTGCAATATTCGAATAACTCTTCCAAATTTGGATACAATAATTCGGTTATCAAGAAATTATAATCCCGATCTCTTCCGTAACAAATTAATTTCGGAAATCCATTTGTTTCTTTGATCGCATCGTAGACTTTCTTTTCGTTGCGCAATTGCGGTCGCATCGTGTTACTGTCTTTGACTTTTATAGCTACGTCTTCGCCTGTAATTCTATCATTGGCTTCAATTACTCAGCCGAAGGAACCGGAACCGATTTTTCTTTTTATTTGATAAAAACGTTTTATGTCCATGGTCATTTTATCTTTTGAAATATAGACGGGTCGAATACGAACGGGTCAAATAATTCCCAGGAATTTTTGGGGGTTGTCCGTTCAGATATGTCGGGTCCCGTCCTTTACCATTGTGGGCCTGGCCGAATCCATAAATGGGCTTGAAAAAAAGAGGCCCTCTTAGTGCCTACAGGACGGAAAGAGTTTAAAAAAAAGTAGGAAGAATAGAAGAACCGCCTTATCTAGATTCGAAACTACACTTCCATTCATGTAGCTGCGAAAATAGTCTATTATTTTTTTAAACAGAAAGAGAATTTCATTTGTATTTTATATATTTATATTAAAATGAATAACATCATAGACATTTAACACAAAGTTTATGATTTCGGAATGACGGCGTAAATTCATCATTTTATCTGAAAACTCTTACATATTTTATTTAATTATTAAGTAATCCTTATGTATTAATATTAAATAGGACTTTTAATAACAAAACAAATTTTAATTTTAATGTATAAATGTTATTCGAGTAATTAAATACATTTTATACGATTATTATTGTAATTACTTTCCAGAAAAAATATCAGTAGAGGGCGCTTTGTTAAGAAAGAAAGGGAGAAAATTGCGTGATGGTTAGATTTTATTGTTATTATTTCTAGAAATAATTTTTGTGTATTTTTAATTCGGTACATATTGTTAATTAATCTGAGATAAGAAGAATAATGAATTAACTGTCTGTGTATATGTTTTGATGCGAAAATGGCAGGATATTTAAGTAGATCGGTGTCACTGAGTCCAATCGAACCTAACCCGCCGAGTCAACCAGGACAGACCCAGAACAAGCAAAATTCGAATTCGGAACAGAGACGAATGCAAGAAGTTGTTATTTCTCCACTGAAAATATTCGTCCTAGCGAAGAAGAAGATAAACGATGTCTTTGTAGGAATCCGCGATTACGTTGACGAAAGTTACGATTTTCTGGTGGAATTGGGACCGCATGGTTCCGTTGTTTCGTCTCAACACATTCAAGATGTGGCACAGTTTAAAGAAAAAGTCAGCGGAATTAGAGAAGTATTGGCCAGGGATCACATGAAGGTGGCGTTCTTTGGAAGAACGAGTAACGGAAAGAGCTCCGTTATCAATGCCATGCTTCAGGATAAGATCCTTCCCAGCGGTCTCGGCCACACCACCAATTGCTTCCTGCAGGTCGAGGGTTCGGATACTTCCGAGGCTTATCTGATGACCGAAGATTCCGTGGAGAAAAAGAACGTGCAGTCGGTGGCTCAACTCGCTCATGCTCTCAATTCGGAAAATTTGGGAGAAAGCACTTTGGTTAGAATATTTTGGCCGAAAGATAGGTGTCCTCTCTTGAGAGATGACGTAGTTTTAGTTGATAGTCCGGGCATAGACGTTTCGCCCAATTTAGACGAATGGATTGATAAACATTGCCTCGATGCGGATGTATTCGTATTGGTTGCAAATGCAGAATCGACGCTGATGCTCACAGAAAAGAATTTCTTTCATAAAGTAAGCGAACGACTTTCGAAGCCTAATATTTTCATCCTAAATAATCGTTGGGATGCATCTGCTTCCGAGCCCGAATTTCTGGATAAAGTAAGAAAGCAACATATGGATCGTAATGTTAGCTTTCTTGTTGATGAATTAAAGGTTGTCAGTCGGCAGCAGGCAGAGGATCGCGTCTTCTTTGTGTCGGCAAAGGAGGTGCTCCAAGCAAGATTACAACAACAAAAAGGTCTTCCTCCTCATAAAGGTGCCTCGATGATAGAAGGTTTTCAGAATCGTTTCTTTGAATTTCAAGATTTTGAAAGAAAATTTGAAGAATGTCTTTCTAAAGCTGCTGTTAAAACTAAATTTGAACAGCATACCCAACAAGGGAAGGCTATAACAAACAATCTTTGGGCCATTATGGATAGTGTTTATGAAGGTGCCAATGATCTGAAAAAACAACGATTGATGCAGAGAAAAGAATTATGGGATAAGCTTGATTTTACAGAGCAACAGCTGAATTTATTGACAGATGAAATAAAACACCAGATTGGACAGTTAGTTGAATTAGTAGAACAGAAAGTAGCTAGTGCATTGAGTGAAGAAATACAAAAACTTGCTGTGCTTGTCAATGAGTTTGAAAGACCTTTTCATCCTGATAGTTTAGTTACTAGCGTGTATAAAAAAGAAATGAATGCTCATATCGAAAGTGGTTTGGGAAGTAATATGAGAGGAAGGCTGTCTTCAACCTTAGCTAGTCTGGTTGAAAGCTCTCAGGGAAAGATGATTGAGCGAATCTCTACTCTCTTACCCCAGGAACATCGTCAACAAATGATGAACGTGTTACCACGTCACAATTTTGAAGTCTTGTATCGCCTTAATTGTGAAAGCTTATGCTCTGATTTTCAGGAAGATTTAGAATTTCGTTTTTCTCTTGGATTAACAAATATGATGAGACGTTTCTTGGGTATTCAACAAACAAAAGCAACATTGAATCAGTTTAGAAATATTTCAAGACCAATTCCTACCACTCCACAGACTCCCAGTAATGAAATAAAACCACTGCCACAAGTCAATCCTGATTATTTAGCATTAGTTCAAAAGATTGCCTTAGTTTCACCTTCTTCCCAAACAGCTGTTGGTGCATTAGCCATCGGTGGTCTCTTAGTCAGAACTGTGGGTTGGAGAGTGATAGCCGTGAGCTTTGGAGTTTATGGTTTATTGTATCTTTATGAACGACTTACGTGGACAAATAAAGCAAAGGAGAGAGCATTTAAGAAGCAGTACGTCAATCATGCAACACGCAAGTTACGATTAATAGTTGATCTGACAAGCGCCAATTGCAGTCATCAGGTTCAGCAAGAACTGTCTAGCACTTTTGCAAGACTTGGCCACTTGGTTGATGAAGTTATTAGCGATATGCGAATAGAAGTAAAAGATTTAGATAATGATATAGAAAAGTTGGACAAATCTGGAACGGCTGCCAGAATTTTCCGAAACAAAGCCGGTTATCTCGGTAGCGAACTGGAAACTTTCTCACAGCAATATTTACAATATGAACAGTAGTAATGTAAACATATCCATATTTTAGTTATGTTTAATATATTGCTGCAGTTTAATTAATATATTGTTAATAATTTGACATACCAGTCAAATTAAATGCGTTAATACTACGTATAATGAATTAATTTTCCCAAAAGGATTGTTTTGTTATTGGAAAGATAGACATTAAATTTAATTTGTATTTTAATAATATTATAAATAATGAAATTGTAAATGGATGAAATATATGTAATTTCATGTATAAATAATAAATTTAATGTCATAAAATTGTTTGTATTTGTTTTAAAAAATTTCAATTAAGAGTTGCAAATGTTTAGATTCTGCAGCTTTATATTGGACATATTCTAAAAAATGGATAATTGGTCATATTTATTAGTATAGAAAAACACTTAAATGCCCAAAAAGGGAAAAATATAGTACTGTTTTTTATCATTCTACATATTTGTGTGCGTTATAGCAAATTAATGTGTTGAATGATAAAAAGTACGCATAAAGCCAATAATATCTTTATTGAAACAATGAATTTATTTCAAAATATGAGAGAACATTTTCAATTTTTCCCTCTGTGATGGTAATTATTTTGATTTTTAGTACAATTTCGGTCGTACATATTCTAATTATTTTGATTTTACTGCTAGAAAACAGTTTGAATCAAGCTATAACATGATATATTGGAACATTTTTGTAGATACAGTGAATGGAAAACACTAGAATATAGTTATTCATTTTGCATCTTTATGATATGTTAAATAGAATAAGTTGCTTGAAAACTTATTTGTAGAGTTTGTTATCCTAGCACTTTTTGGATTCTTCCAACCTATCCTCAGGGACAGTCAATATAAAAAAAAAACATTAACAGTTAAAAATCATAGTAAGAATGTTGGTCAATATTTCACCACCTAACAGAAAACAGCTTTTTCTAAGAAACCAACCCCAGTTTTAAACCCCATTGATCATTTCAGTACTTTCCTTATACAGTAATTGACTATTTCTGAAGATAGGTTGGAAGAAGTTGATAGCACTAGGATAATATAGATGTAAACTCTGGAAAAGTAGTTTTTTTGAATGAATAATTTGGTACAGGAGTTTTGTATGTTAGAATAATAACCACTTGATGTGTAAAATTTTATTTAGTTTCAGAACAATGAAATGGATAAACAATTCATTAGTCATCTGAATTAATCAATGTATCATTAACAGTGAGTGAAGTTTAAAGAATTCTAACATTTTGACACAGTTAATGAGCCATCTTCAATCAGATCATTGAAAGGGGAATGTGGAGTAGTCACTAAGAATAAGATTTCACAATTTAGAGATTTACAGAATTTAATATTGAATTAACCTAAACAAGATTCATTAATTTTTAATGTTTTAATATAACATACATCAAGCTAAGATACATGATTTGTTTAGGATTTCATGAGCAAAACTGACATTTACATTGAACGTTTTGATCATTGCAGATTCTTGACACTGTTCGGGATTTTAATGATGTAAGTGTATGTAAATGTGAGAAATATTTGTGTAATGAGTAATGAATTTGAATTAAAAGCATTGGTGGTTACAAAAATAACTTAATGAGGATTGAGTTTTGAAGCTGTTGGAAATTAAGAATGTGAAGATGCCAATTTGAATTTTAAAATGTAGATGCATTCAGTTGAATTTGGAATATCACAAATTTTGTTTTGACTCTGAAGATGAATGGGAAGTATCTGAAAGTATTTAGATTAGAGATCATAGAAAATTTTACAATATTCCAGAAGCATCAAGAAGATTATTGTAATAATGATAAAGTTGGTCTGTTGTTAAAGTCTTAATGGATATAGTAATTTAAGTGCAGTAAGCATCATTATTACTTCAAATTTACGTGCTTTTATTTTGATCCTGATACTGAAAAAGATTATAAAATTGCCACAAAAGTTGCACAATTATGATTATTTTCAAATAATAACAGTAGTAATAACTTTATTTCAGTAAAAATAAAAAACAACCTTAAATTTACAATAAATGAATTCGAAAATGCAAATATTGTTAGACTAATATCACTTTTTTTTTTGTTTTTGTTTTTGGAAACAGGAGTAGAATGGTACTATTTCTTAATTAATGGTGGATTAAGATTTGCTTTGAAAATAATTTCTGAATTAACAATTAAAGTTAGGAGTCCCTAATTAAGATCTGGTTACGCTACAATTATGCATGTGTGACTCATAATTTCTGAATCGTTTATGCGCATGTGGATAATGTTGTTCAGAATTAATTTGAAAATTTAAGCTTTATAGATTCCTGAAAAACAAAAGATGATGACCATTTCATCTTGTTTGTTTTATATTTAAGATTACTAGTAAATCTAGTCTTCATTAAAAGGCATTTATAATAGTTCTTGATTTGTCAGTAGATAATTGTATTATAGTAATGTAAGCATTTACTTATAAAGATATAGTGATAGAAACTAGGAAATGCATTTGTATAAAACAGTATAAATATAGATGGAAACTGAACAGACAACCAAATAAATCAATCTTATATTGTACACTAAAAAATTTCTACCTATAGAAATAGACTTTTGTGAGGATGATAAGGTAACTAAATGAACTGGATGACCAAAGTGATTAAGGTGCATCATTGGCTTTGGGGAAATGAGATCAAATTTGAGTGAGCCCTAGGAATCTTTCACAGGTAGTCTGTCCTGAATACTTTGGACTCCATCCCTCACTACTTGGTTGCTTCATTTTGGACCTGGCCAAACCCATGATGGGCATGAAAAAAGCTTTCCTACTAGTAAGTGATTACAAGATGGAGAATTAAAAATGAAGATCAAAACAAATGTAATTGGTGATATTTTCGTTTGAATAATGGTGGCAAGCACCATAGCATGAATAACATAATTTAGCTGCAATTAAAGAATATGTTGAATATGTTTGGCAACTTCTATGTTTATATGATGAAAAACACATATAAAGTCATTTTGTTTAAGTGATGAAATATACAGATGGCAATACAATTTTATGCTCTTCTTCAAAAGTATAAACTGAGATAGAATTTAAGCATATTTTCTGATTCTGTTTAAGCCACTTGATTTTTACACAAGTGTGTTTCTATACTAGAACTCCTGATTAATTTATTAAGATTTAGAGTTTATTCATAGGCAAATTACTTAAAGTATTTATGATTTTAAGTGAATTTTGATTAGAGAAATAAATTTTTAAAGTCATAAGCAGAATTTAAAATTTTTGAGTCCTATTAGGTAATATTCCAGATTAAAAAAATATATTTAATGTAAAGATAAAATAAAATCCATTATTAAGAATGGAATGTTTTCTATTGATTCATCTTCAGCTTCATTTTTTAAACTTTTAGTAATGGAGAAATGTGGTTTCCGTTTCCCTTGGAAAATATGGATGAATGGTAAACATCTGAGATTACAGCTGTTACAGCTTAAATCTAGGTTTGTTTTGGCACACAAACTATGAATAACACAAAGTAGATGCAAATTGTCAGTTTGTCATTTCATTTTTTTGAAGTGGTTCATATGACAGTATGATAAATGAGATATGGAAAGTATACAGTGTTAATTATTATCTGTGAAGTAAGCAATGTACCAGTACATCAATCAATAGGGTTTGCTGCCAACTACAAAGTTTCATCTCCCATCTACATTCAAATGCCTTGTAGTCTATTACCTCTAGGAAGCACTATAAAGAAAAATGGCATTTCAGCAACACACAAGGCATTTTGTGTTCTGCAGTTCATAAAGTTGGAATCACTCATCATTGTGCAACATGAGTAATCTGTACGAGCTGTGGAATTGTGGTTGCTGTGGGAGGAGTGACAACAGAAATGCTGCAGAGAGTTTAAAAAGAATTTGAGTATAGATTGGATGTCTGCCAAGTGATACAATGTACGCACATTGAGAAATTGTAATGAGCAAATATAAAACTTGGACAATTGTTCAATGTCCTTGGATAATAATTAACATAAATATAATAATTTAAAATGGTAGTGTACTTTTTGGAAGACCCTGTATTTTAAATCAAAGACAATTTTTTTAATGTTCTGTTTAAATGTTTGGATAACAGAACAACGTATACAAATTAGAATTAAAACACATTTTATATATACAAATTAGAATATAGACATTCTACAAATGAAACATTGATGACATTCTCATAGCACGGAAACATAAACCTAATGCCAATATGTACAGTGTCATCAAAAATCCATATGGCTTCATGTTAAAATTAGATCGAGAGAGTTCTATAAGTGTGCATTTAACTTTTATTTGTTTAATCTGTAAAATATCCAAAGTATATTTATATCTCAAGTGACCTGTTGAAAATTTGCCAGATATCTTTAAAAGCTTGTTTTTTTTATTTACAAATAATTTTAAATTTTAACTTTAAATTATTTATTTAATCCAGTTGTATAGCCTCCATGAGGTCATTTGGATGACTTCTAATTAATGCACATAAGAACTTTGTGGCTATTCTATAGAAAACAGCAAAAATATCCAAAATTTGAAATAGTTAAATTTTGAATTGAGTTTTTTTAATGTTAATTTGCTGAAAATGATTAGAAATCTTAAAAACATTCAGTAATTTTATTGTTATTTCAATAAAGTAATCTTGCTTGAATTTAAAACATCTTTGCATATCTATCTCAAGGGTTTCTAGTCTTCATATGTACTTATAAAAAATATAGAAAGCTTTTTATAAAAATTTGATAAACAGTTACAAACATTTAATAATGTTTTTCAGATGTAACTTTTGTAAACGAAACATTAATCAATGTATTAAATTAATTTTTTTGTAACAATAAATCAATTAAGAAGATTTGTATGAATTAAAAATTCATATGATTGTAATAAATGATTTAAAATAATTATGTTAAGAATATTTATATTAAAATAATGGGCAATTGTTTGTTTTTAGATATTAATGAATATTTTGGGATAGAATTAAAATGGAAAATATAATAACTAAAGAAAACTCAAAGAGAAACAAAGAAGTTGAAGTTGTTGTTTTCGATAGTCGTCCAAAGAAAAAACAGGTAAGATTTTTTTAAATTCATTTATGTAATAAACTTGTAGTTCAGTAAATTAGTTAAGGCAATTGTAATATAAATTTTCTTAAAGAATTATAAGCTACTATCAGAAATAATTCCCATTGTTTTATTCAGTATACATATATACTATAGAAATGGTCAGAATTCTAGTAATGGATGTACTCAAGACCTTAAGTGATAATTTCCTTAGTTAGAAAGCTTATCATTTTTTGTGTATCACCTTAAAATAAAACATCAAATCACCAACTTGCAGAATCTTCTAAGTAGAACAGGAATGCCATTTAAAAAATCCAGCAATGTCTTATGAGATCTTATTTAAAAAATAACTTTTATAATTTTAATTACAATCTAAATATATAAAATCGCTTGTCCTGACTGACTGACTCACTCATTCACTCACTAACTCATCATCGCCCAGAGCAAACTGCTTAACCCAAAGAGGTGAAATTTGGTAGACAGTTAGTGTGCGTTTCCATGACGTACCCTAAGGGATTTTTTGAAATTCCCCCACGGGAGAGAGGGAGAGCATTAAGGCTTAACCGGAATAATGGCTTCTACTGTACTATTTTAGATGCAATTTTTTGTTTTTATCTGCGTTTTAGTAGGGTATGCCATAGCAATGCACACTAAGAAGGGATTTTTCTAAATTCCCCGCGGGCAGGAGAGGGAGAGGATTTAGTCTTTATCGAGTACTTAGGTGTATTAAATTAATAACATTTGAGACATTGTTATAAATAATTTTATCTATTTTGATTTTAAAAATGTTCGAACCGTTTTAAATTTGAATTTGTTATTGCATATTGGTTCGATTATAGAACAATTGTAAACGTTCCAGAAAATTGATCAAATTGAAAATAGTTCATTTGATTCTCAGTAATTCTCATCATTCTCAGCGGTAGGTGTTATATAACAATTACTATGGTTGTTGAAATACTGAATATAAATGGGGTTTGCTTGCAAAATCCGCATGGACAAAGCCGCTGGTAACAGCTAGTATAACAATAAAATTGTGTGTGTTGCCATCTGTTATAAAATTTTTTTTATATTTTTAATTACTGTAAA